TTGTCCCTGTAGTAAAGCGTTGTGATAAGTGTATGCACGATTTTCCTGTCACATTCATGACACACAACACTATGTAAATGTGTGGTTACTGCACCTCATCAGCACCTGTGTTTTTTGCGGTTATGACCCCTGTCTGTACCTCACACCACAAACTAAGTTTACAATGATGTTTTGTGCGGTCAGACCCAGCCCCATCTCCTCCGCAACTTTCTTAAATCTTAACGGTGAAGTGAGAGAATTCATGAAAGCTATAGCATTGTTTCCATCCTTCTGAGATTGTGTCTGTATATCAAAGTTATGATTAATTATTGAATAAAATACTGTTAAAAAACAGTGACGTTTTGTGAGGTTACGACCCCTGCCACATCACAACCATCATCTAAAATCTGAAAAAGTATAATCCGAACAATGTGTAGCCTTTAGACCGCTGCGCCGCACATACATCAGACAATCTCTGTCAACCCATATACAAGATTAGGCGTTTGAAGGACATACTTGACCCAATAGTAACCCTAAATCCCTACTTCATCCCTTTGAACGGTAGCGAGTGTTTGACCCTGTGTGACCTCGTGCTGGGCGAGTAGAGGGAGGGTGCTTTACCTTCCGTCGGTCTCCTCTAGCCATCACGCTGTTAAACTTAGATCATGTACAGGTAGGTGTATAACGTTTTTAGAATGCGATTCAATGAAGATTTATGTCTAACAGCACGTCATTGTGGTGAAACATGTGATACATATATCGGGTGTTTGTGTATTAATACGACAGCTGATTAGGAAAAAAAGTAATACAATTATTTAGCTTATTTAGAGTATCACTAATACCTTATATTGTATTGCAGGTCTTACCAACAAAATATCCCCTGACTCAATCAACGGATCAGTAATAGAACTACAGTGTAAGAGTATACACATGTATATATAGGTGATTTGTCGAAATATATCGGCCTGATGATAGGGTCAAAGGATACTCGGGCCTGGTTTTCCATCAGTATAATAAACTTATCCCGCTACTTTACAATACGATGGGACATTTTGTGTTACCTGTTAATCACGTAATGGGGAGTCCATACATTAGTACCCCGACCCCCGCAGTTTCCGCCACACAATACCGTGTTATACCTGTACTGGTTGTTGCTCTCTAATACTATAATTGTGTTTAGTGTCTCCAAACGTGATTGAGACATTATTTGTCAGCACATCTTACCGTCAACCCGACCCTCGGGGCACGGAGCACTGGGAGAGAGCAGGGAGACCGTGGGGTACATTGTACGTGAAGTACATGTGGTTTACCCTCGGGGCACGAAACACTGGGAGACTTTTGTACCGTAGAGTTAGTGAGGTCTTGGCGGGAGGTGTAAACAACAAACACCAGAAAATGAAAGTCGAGATGACTTTCTCTCCCACGTCGTGATTTGAATTTCACATCTCCGCGTGCATACACTTATACCTAATCGCATTCGAACTGCGTATACATCGTGTCGGTAAATGTTCGCTTGTTTGTTTGTGTTTTTACTTTTTGATATGTGATGATTAATACATATATATCAAATGATTAGTTGTCGTCTGAGTGATCTAAATTGATTAATGACGTAACCCCATTGCATTTCTGTCACCAGCTCGACTTCGAATAATGAACATCGATATTTCTTCATCTCGCCGCCCTATTAATACTAAACATAAATTGAGTCATTCTCGTTAATTCGGATTTTAGACGCTATATCGGGAACCTTATACGAACATATCTCGTTACTCCGGAAACTTAAACAATACTGCATCACCAGGTCTCATCAGTCCGTACCTAAGCTACCGTCTGGACACTTAGTATTGGTTAGCAACAGTGATCCCAGAGATTTGTTTAAATGTTTTAGATTAAAATAATTTCTAGGACATTTGTAACGTTTTACAACCTATACACCTCAGCGCTGTACATTAATGATAAATACAACATATATAGAGCGAGGCGAAGTTTTTATAATTAAGCAGAAACTGATATCAGTTTGATTTTGGTTTTTTGTACACGTTGGATTAGAGTTTATCAGGATGTAACCCTGCGCTTTCTGTAAGGCTTGCGTCCCTGAGAAGCATTGGGGTGGGGTGTCTGAGAGCTTGAAGCTCTCGGGGAAATATTTTCAAACCACCAGATATGCTGAAGGACTTGGAGAGCAATGTTTACTGAACGCTGACGTCGGTCACACAGCATTAATGTCTATCTCGTTGTTGGTATTGGGCGTTTATAGTCACAGAAGATCTGCTGACCACCAGTCGGCCGGACACCTTTAATTTACATAAACATGGCCGATGATAAGGAAGCTTAATTTACCCTGACCATTATGACGAGTTGTAGACCGACTGCTGTAAGTGGAGATAATCGCGCTGAGAGCGATAAGATCTGACATGACAATCTGGCACTAGACGCGAGGAGCCGGTACAATAGCTGCTCGCCGCTGACTGGGGACAGAAAATGTAGAGACATATCGAACGAGTAGAGATGTACCATCCCCAGAAAAACCAAGGACACAAAGTCAAACGGGAATATCCGAATCTAATTTAGCTTGGTCGTACCCCGAGTCCTTTTTGTTACTCATCCTTATAGGAAACGTAAACCTAGTCGGCAGTAACATCCGGGTCCTCGGGCAAATTACAGCAATTATGCAGTCAAGACATCTATAAATAATATTGGTTGCAACCATGCGTATAACCGCCCCCCTCTTTTTTTGTTTTGTTTTTACTTAAACGACTGTTTGCCTCAAACATTATTTCTCAGAAATCTAAATTCACAAACTGGAGGACGCTGAGTAATACCACAGCTCGTTAGTGGACATGAAGTGTTAACACTCAAACGCTAAGATACTCGATCTACCATCTGAACAAATAAAACTCTGAAGCATCAGAAAGCCTTGAATTATATCAAAACCCGATTTACGACTTATACTGTAACATTAAAAGTGAGATTCCAGAGCCCATAGGGCACGTACATTGGACCATCACGGTTGTCGGACAAACCCCATAAACTAAACACTATACGTTCGTACCTCCTTTTACGACGCAGTAATTGACATAGAAAGTTGAGCGTACCTAACATACACAGCGTTCCGAATTCTCGCGTAAAGGTACTCTCATTTCCATGGCAAGTCCGCGTCCAACATCCAATAAAATGTTTAGAGCTTTCTTCTTATTGTAATGTACGGAGCATCACGCAACATTTGACAAAGTCAGGCCATTAAGTAGGTTGTCCCGCCGATAGACTAGAATGGGTAGAACAAGCTGTTCTTACTACATCGTAAATACCAGCATCAAACCGTTAAACTTGTTTGTAAATTTATTACAAACCGAGATCACAAACAGCTGAACTGGTTTTCTGTACTACATTTACTAACAGAAATTATATAGTTTTCTTTTCTTGTGTTACGTTAATATATTTCTTAACAGAAATCAAAAACATGTAGTTTTACTTTTCTTGAAATGTAAAATATATAAATTTACAAACCGAGTTCAAATCGTTTAACTTGTATTGTTTTTAGGGCCAATAGAAAAGTCAAAGTGTTGGGTTGACGTGTAATTGGACACAGTGACACCTAAGGGGACACGTACACGATTTCCTGCAATATCTATGTAACTGTAAATGAATTAGATACAAAAAATAACGCGCTCGGTTTTGTTTCATCAGCACAACTCGTGTGACTCTACAAAGCTCGGGAGGTTTCTACCTTGACATTTGTATCTGTTCGTCAGTGCGGCGTGTAAGAGTTGGGGAAACAGCCTTCAGATATTCTGTCAAGGGTTTTTTCTATGTCAAGGTTTTTTCATTTGTAATAACTGTCAGGTGTCTGGAGTCTCGATTTTATACATTTATCTGTGACAACCAAACTAACGCGAATTCTGTCATTAACTTTGTATAACTATTTGCAGCGGGCCAAGTAATATTTCTAAGCACCTGGTTCAAACGTTACTTCTAGTGACCTCGGTATTACACGCTGTCGTAGACTTACATGTACTTGACTACTATTAACTATAATGTATGAAAGGATTTGCGTAATGACAGTTATAAGGGGCCCGCGCTAATTATCACAAAGATCAGTATGATGTCACTGATGTGAATTATCTTCAGACTAACACACTAAGAAGAAAACCGTACGATGACTTGACAGCCAGCAAACAAGTGGAATCCTCCGTCGCCATATACGGGCGTGCGATATTAAACTCTACCGTCAACCAGAGCCAACAGTGAACAAACAACTCGGAGTAGTAATTAAATTTATCGAAATTCATTAAAAGTTAAATGCTCTTATGTGAAGTGACGTTACATAACTGGGCCTTGTTCTATGATATATAAGTGTCCGAACGCTGTAGTGATGGAGGAATCGCCGACGGTCTAAATTTAAACTTAACAAATCTACACCGATAACCCTCACGGGCTATCTCTACTAGGGTATTCACTCGTCAATTCTGTAACACACCTCTGTTTCAACTTTTCATTCACATAGTCCAATATTTACTTATGTAGCCTACGACGTTCCAAGGATCATTCATGTAACGGGAACAGATATGATTGAAAGGTTTAATCCGTAGAAGCGGCCTTCGATAGCGACATCAGTCTCAATACCATAGGGAAAACTATTTGATTACGCGGTAAATCTTTTAATTAACATAGAACTGACGACAATCTGCTGTATGCCAATTCCGCAAGTGACTTATTGGCATATTGCGACAAAGCGTCCATCGACTGTAATTAATCCACGTCCACAATCGCGGGATCTGTATTTCGGATAATTCGTGCAGGTCTAGCAGATGTGCCTCAGTATTTTCTCGCGTTTGTGTAAAATGTAATATCTGTTTTAATTAATGGCTCAACAAATCAATTGGTAATTTCTGAAGGCTCGCCTCCATTTAATTACAACATATATTTTAATATGTCACTTTGACTTTAATCATAAGCCCAGTGTCAAAGTGCGATACTGTGTCCAAACAATTAGATTGCTGATAATGAAACTAAATCCTTACCGTGGGGAATAGGTTTAGGGAGCCGCCTTAACCCCTGGCACACCATGCTCCGGCCCAAAGGGTTGGGCTCGTCCCCGAGAGTGCGTCCATCGAGACGTGCCGAACTCCAGTCTTCAATAACTCCCCGGGTCCCGCGGCTGTTGAGTGCCATACAGCGACATTGGGTGGGGCAAGTCCCCCAAATACTGGCTAGTCCAGACCTCCGGGGATACGTGTTATATCCATCCACGAAAAGAACGCACAACACGGACGCCAACATGCAAATTGCAACACATTTTTCCAAAGTCGGCATGTTAATCATATTTAATATTCTACTTCACACCAATAATGTAATTTCTCATTAAACAGTTAACGTTATATTAAAGTGTTTTTTGGCTTCTTAACCTTTTCCACACTATATATATATATTACACTTTCTGCATCAGTGTTATCTAAAGCTAAGCCTCTGTATCAGGCATTATAAAGCACGTGTAGGGTGACAGATGTAAATACTCCTCTTCCAATCACCAGTAATAAGCGGAAGCCAGAAGACTAAAACAGAGAACAATGACACATCCTTTCTATAATGCTGATGTTAGCTAGTAGGGTAAAAAAAAAACTGTCTCACACCAGATGTTCCACCATCAAGTATTAACTGTACAGCGTATATATATATACTGCGTGCTCGTCCCGCGGATAGCTATACTATACTGGGTTACATAGTAAGTACGCTACATACAGCGATCAACCCCGTGCTGTACGTACCGCCTTCCGCTCCGCACCGTAACGAATACGACTGCCCCTTTTTCACAGTAAAACCATCAACGCGAGTCCGTGTTATGAAAGGAGCTTGTTGTCAATCATAGTCTAGTGCACGCTTGAATGATTTCACAACTGTTATAATCACGGATTTCCTTCGCAAGATTTACTGTTTTATATTTCACATACACCTATTCTTATTATGTACACACACACGGTCGGGTATCTCCTTAATCAAAAAAAGGAAAATGTTTATTATAACTGTCCTTTTGGTATCCGATGTCCATTCACATTAAACTTTCATGTGCGGTTAATACGAGTTCCAGGGACAATACTTACGAAATAGAACATTATACCTGGCGTATATGAGAAAAGGGGATTTGTTGAAGTAAAGATTAGAGACGGGAAACAAGGTGTATGTAGCTTGGGTATTTACATTCTACCTGTACTGTATTTATGAATGGCTAACACCTTCAATACACTACATCTATAGCGGTACACTCGGGAGCAGCGGCTTACTCCTCCATTCACTATCAGTAAAAAGGCCCTGACAATGCCGCTACGATCTATAGGCTCCCAGATTTATATAAAAAAAAAAGTTGAATGAACATATCCTGGTGAAGCTCAGATGACACTACCTATATATACAGTGTAATCGGGCCATTGTGCACGAGAAAACAAGTGACCTTGTTGGCCCGGACAGACTTGTTAGCTTTTCCACGCGATATCAAACTCTTACTTAAATATACCTTTCCCACATAGATTTTAATTTAGTCTTATCGAACGCCGTATACTTAGAACTAAGAAAAGCACGTTATTTTAACGATTACTTCACAAGTCTTTTTTCGCAGTTTATGAAGATTAGAGTTTCCGTACAGACGAGAGATAGGTCGGTACACTGACTGGGTGGGTTGGTTTGAGGACTTGGATTGAGTGGGTAAACACCCCCAGAGACCCCTGAGAACTAGTTCGTTGTAATATATTTTACCCATTCATTTCTTGCTGTATGTAAAATGTAAATAAATACACGGTTTTGTTACAAGTCTGAACCAACCCACGTATAAATTTGCAGCTAGACACTCCTTAAAAAATCTTATTGAATTTCTAAAATGAAAATTGACATTCTAGTAATAAAATTTAAGTTGCAATCATACATTAAAGTTTTCAAATTTTGTCAAGGAGAGAGGACCGTAGAAAAAAGGAAACGACCACAACATAAAGATAAATGTGTGGGAGACATCACGTTTATATCAGGCTCAATTATCATATTGTCAAACGTAGCATCGTTCAAAATACACCTTACACTATAGTCACAGATTAAACTTTAATACTCAAGTTAAAAACGAGGAGAACAAAGAATTAATCAAACAAAATAGGACATCAATTCAAAATAAAGGTCGTCTTCATCAACAATAGGAAACCAATAAAAAACAACATCATCTCGAAACAAAGACGAGTATCACTAACAAGAAGAGGCCAATCAAAAACACAAAGCATCAACCCAAAACAAAGGCTAAAGCTTAGGAGAATACCAAAGTTGCTGTACCGCATTAGGGAGAGGTTTAAGATTAACCAAAGCGTACCGGAGGAAGGTTGTAATACAGTGTTCGACAATGTGTGATGTGTGACCGATAATGCCGTGTTTTCAATGGTGTTTGTGTGTGTGTGTGTAATTTGTGTAACTAGAAAACATGTCATGCAAGAAACATGCAAGAGAACATGTCATGCACATAATTTGTGACTTTTAGCGTGAAAACACCTTAACGGACCAGAGATTGTCTCCATCAAACCGTCGTAAGATAATTTTTGAAAGTGGTTGAGGTGAAAATTTATAACGAAAATAAGAAACAATCGCCGTTAAAACATAACGCAGTCGGTGAGGTGACATTTCAGTGGGATAACACTATACTGTCTGTCACGTGACTTTTACGCGACATGACACTTTACATTGCGTCAGGTGACTTCTCAGAGATTTAATACTGCTTAGTGTGCCACATGACATTCCACTTTGATGTTACTACAGAATCAATGATTACCATTTTTGTGAGGCTTATCTTTGACGTTAAAGTCAGCCAAATATACATTTGTCTTCCCTTTCTCTTTACATATAAAGTACTAGCTAAATAACTGGAGTTAATAAAAACAATCTTACCAAAATGAACTCTTACCATAACACTATATTTATGGCAATCTTGTAAGGTACAACATAATCATCTTCATTGTCGAAATGTTGACACGATCATTTCTCACATAGATTTTTAATAAACAATGTGGACTGTCCGGAAGAGTCTCTTTCATCATATTTTACACTTGTGATAATGTCTCCCGTCAAATCCTAGAACGTCAGTCTCCAACAATAGAAAGTGAGTAAGGCGTTGACCATGGTAGACACTAAATTCTTAGTGGAAATCCGCCTGTGATGACAATCGTACCTTTTGCATCGACGTAGATATAAACCTCTCAAATAAGACAGTTAAGTATTGCTCAACATATCTATCCAGAAAGTCACGGCAATTACAACAGGCTAGAGTAGCTCGTCAGCCAGCGAAATAAACTACAAACTCTGATAGCAGGCTAGAGTAGCCCGTCAGCCAACGAAATAAACTACAAACTGTGATAGCAGGCTAGAGTAGCCGGTCAGCCAACGAAATAAACTACAAACTCTGATAGCAGAATAGAGCAGCCCGTCAGCCAACGAAATAAACTACAAACTCTGATAACCGGCTAATATGTTTCTACTGAGGAAAAGAAAGAGGTAATGATCTCAAAATAAACTACAAACTGAGATAACAGGCTAATATGTTTCTACTGAGGAAAAAAAAAGAGGCAATGATCTCAAAATAAACTACAAACTCTGATAACAGTCTAATATGTTTCTACTGAGGAAAAGAAAGAGGTAATGATCTCAAAATAAACTACAAACTCTGATAACAGGCTAAAGTAGCCCGTCAGCCAACGAAATAAACTACAACCTCTGATCGCAGGCTAGAGTAGCCCGTCAGCCAACGAAATAAACTACAAACTCTGATAACAGGCTAATATGTTTCTACTGAGGAAAAGAAAGAGGTAATGATCTCAAAATAAACTACAAACTGTGATAACAGGCTAATATGTTTCTAATGAGGAAAAAAAAGAGGCAATGATCTCAAAATAAACTACAAACTCTGATAAAAGGCTAATATGTTTCTACTGAAGAAAAGAAAGAGGCAACGATCCAAAAATAAACCACAAACTCTGATAACAGGCCAATATGTTTCTACTGAGGAAAGGAAAGAGGTAACGATCGCAAAATAAACTACAAACTCTGATAAAAGGCCAATATGTTTTCTACTGAAGAAAGGACAGAGGTAACGATCTCAAACTAAACTACAAGCTCTGATAACAGGCCGATATGTTTCTACTGTAGAAATGAAAGAGGTAACGATTTCAAAATAAACTACAATCTCTGATAACAGGCCAATATGATTCTACTGAGGAAAGGACAGAGGTAACGAGCACAAACTAAACTACAAACGCTGATAACAGGCCAATATGCTTCTACTGTAGAAAGGAAAGAGGTAACGATCGCAAAATAAACAACAAACTCTGATAACAGGCTAATATGTTTCTAATGAGGAAAGAAAAGAGGTAACGATCCCAAAATAAACTACAAACTCTGATAACAGGCCAATATGTTTCTACTGTAGAAAGGAAAGAGGTAACGATCTCAAACTAAACTACAAACTCTGATAACAGGCCAATATGTTTCTACTGAGGAAAGAAAAGAGGTAACGATGCCAAAATAAACTACAAACTCTGATAACAGGCCAATATGTTTTCTACTGTGGAAAGGAAAGAGGTAACGATCTGAAAATAAACTTCAAACTCTGATAACAGGCCAATATGTTTCTACTGAAGAAAGGACAGAGGTAACGATCTAAAACTAAACTACAAACTCTGATAACAGGCCAATATGTTTCTACTGTGGAAAGGAAACAGGTAGCGATCCCAAAATAAACTACAAACTCTGATAACAGGCCGATATGTTTTCTACTGAAGAAAGGACAGAGGTAACGATCTCAAAATAAACTACAAACTCTGATAACAGGCCAATATGTTTCTACTGAAGAAAGGAAAGAGGCAACGATCCCAAAATAAACTACAAACTCTGATAACAAGTCAATATGTTTATACTGTAGAAAGGAAAGAGGTAACGATCGCAAAATAAACTACAAACTATGATAACAGGCCAATATGTTTCTACTGAAGAAAGGAAAGAGGTAACGATCGCAAAATAAACTACAAACTCTGATAACAGGCCAATATGTTTATACTGAAGAAAGTAAAGAGGTTACGATCTCAAAATAAACTACAAACTCTGATAACAGGCCAATATGTTTCTACTGAGGGAAGGAAAGACGTAACGATCTCACAATAATGTCGTCACCTTCCTTTCAAGGTAGGTAATGATGCGACCAGTAACCCCATGCTGTAGGATACAAAAGTGAAGAACAGAAATCTTGTAGTTTTACTCTATTGACCTAACTTCCCGTGTTTCTCCAGATCACAACTGTCCCCGTTACAGGACGACCTAAGCCATTATACATTATAAATTGGCGAGTACAATAAAGGATACACTTCTATTAGTTTTACATCTTGTACAATATACCGTCCAGTTCCATGTTTATTGTGGTGATAGGTTATAAGTAGAGGGTATTTATTGGTTTCCGATTGAATAGCATATATATTTTACGACTCGTGAAAATATCGGTAAGTTCTGTCAAACCACAAAGTATCAAAAACATTTACTTTCAAATAACTTATAGTATTTCTAACAACCAATCAGCACCATACAAAAGAGATGGGTCACCTATACAAGGTCATCCCTTGTTGTACTCATCATTGTGGACAGAAAATCTGCAGCTTTCAATGAAGTGAATAGAAGTGCCATTCTGATTGGTCAATACCAAAAGAGATTTTCGCACACTGTGAAAGAATCACTTTTGATGTCTATGACAGTGTTGAAGATATCAAGCTGATATCTCAATAGTACAAATGTAATAAATAACTATTTGAGTAAAACAGGTCGTGAAACAGAATCTATATTCTAGGTGTCAAGGTTCGTCAGGCTCCTGTCAACAAAGTGCTCGGCGTCAGGAAAACAGGTCATCAATATTGTATTAGCCATGTC